TATGTATGTGTGTACCCATATAAATGCACAAATATATTGGTAGAGTGTCAATATTTGTTTAGCCTTATCCAATCTGGAATCATCCTGTCTCTAGTCGCTTTAGCAGTGACTCTCAGAGCTCCACCAAGTGGTAGTATAAAGAAGGCGGCAGGTTTCTGGTCAGGGTTTTCATCAGTGCTGCCTTTGGTGTTTACATTTGTGTCATTACAATGCTGAGCTGTTGCCTTGTCTTCAGTGTTCTTTCTGTTGTGTATCAGTTTGTAATTTAAAAGGGAAGATAGAAGCGCTGTTATATCTGAGTGAGCCTGACTTTTTAACTTTTGGCAGAGACCCAGGTTTTTTTTTTCCGTTTTAGCAAAATATAGCACTGCATTTGGTTACATAAAATACTGCCTCTAAAAATCTTGAAAATATGCCAGATAAAATAAAACACAACCATACTGATTTTGTCTATTTAAGTTACTCAGCATACAAGACCTTGTACTTTAGTTTAGCCATTGAAATTTATATTGTGATATTTATACTGATGCATGTGTTTATGGTATGCTGATATTGAATAGTAAACGCTCCTAATGCACATTCTCTCTCTTCCAGTTTGGTTTTGCTATAAACTGTTTAGGTCTAAGGCCCTATCCTTGGCTGAAGATAAAACCATTTTGCATGAGTGTCTGGTGGACAATGTGTTTATTTTTACTGAAGTAAAGTTTTCTTAATAGTTTTAATCAGTAGTTTTAACAGATTAGTTTTTACTCTTATTTATGGGTTGAACTCTTAGTCCTAAAGAGCTTATCATGAGTGAATAAGACAGTGTAATATTTCTCATATATATTGTTTATGTGATGGTATCTTAAACTTCTAGTGTCATATGCACTTATATTCACCTCAGTTTTATATGAAACTGCCATAAAGGGAAACTTTTTTTTATTTACCGAACATTAAACTAAAAGTACACAATTTAAAGGATAAAATGTTGCTGTGGCTAGATCATTCCACCATTGTTTTTCTCCAGAAGCTATTAATTCATAATAAGCTGCTCTTTGCATGCCCTAATGTTATATATTAAAATTTTGGGGGTTTTATTAAGTTAAATAAATGTGCTGCTCTCTAACACAGTGCAAGTTAAGACACTATACAGGTTTCTGCATGTAACTCTGTAAATAAACCTCCACTCTAACCTGCACACCCCAGTTACTCTCCTAAGCATCACCTCAGCACATGGCCAATAATGGAGTAGTTTAATGCTGTTTTCACCATGGGCTAGCAAGGCTATTATTTCTTGTATCGCCTGAATCAAAGATGAATCCAGGTCTTCACAGGTCATTTCACCTAAACCATTCTCCATCACCCTTCAATACCATCCCCAAAAGAGCTTGTCTAGTAAAATGCTTTTTAACTTTCTCTATTATTAGCCTTCTGCTTTAGGAAAGCATTGTAAAATACACTTGAATTGTAATATAAACTGCCGCAAAATCTTTCCAAATCACAGTAAGCAAAGTTTGTTTGTCATTTAGTTTTTGTTGAAACTCAGCAAATTTCCCAGTTAAACTTTCCACAATGTCTAATTAAGCATTAAAAGAACGAGTAGTTAACAGGTATAATGTTGTTAGACTTCAGCTAATGTGACTGTGACCATGACCTCCCAGATAGATCAAAGACTAATCTCTGTGACAGCTGCAAGATGGCAGAGCTTGCCATAGGCCTTCTGCTGCTGCTTGCTGAAACTATTTGTCTGTAAAGCATGCCTGATAGCTAAGAGTATATTTTTAAGGATGAACAGGTAAAAGTAAAAGGCTGTCTTTTGACATTTTAACTAATCCCTTCTAGCCTGTGGTTTACTGCACATTTAGGATATTTGCTAGCAGGAGAGACTGGCTTTTTCACATATGCATCATGTCATTTCGAATTGGGTGTTGATTTGATGCCTGATAATGCAGAGTTATACAATGAAATAGATTCTGATTGGATTAAAATGACATGCACTGGCCTTTTACCTTTACTAGACTTATAATGAATCCTTAACCCTCAGCAATCTAAATAGTCACTTCATGCTGAAACCTGATCTTTAGAGTGAGAGAAACGGAATACTTAGTTTTTTGTCATCCATTGTTCATATAATTGAGAGGTTAATATCTCTTACATTAATATATAGACCTCAATATTTGTTATCTGATGGGACAATGTTTCCGCTGACTCTATTTATATGAATATACCTCTGTGTGTAGATGTGACACTGCCTGCAATAATTGTAATTGGTGTAAAACAGAATGACAAGTTATTCTAATATTGTTTTACTAAGACTTTCAAAGTAGCAAGAAACTATAGAAATGATAAATGTATTAATGTTGACAAAAGACTTTGTGAAGAAATTCTGTTGAGAAATTTATCATGAGATTAAGAGAATTATGAAATACTTTCAGAAGAACTTTGACTATTTCATATTTTAAAATATTTATTTAGCTTTACCCACTACTTAGATTGTTTCCTAAATTTTATTCTCCATCTGAAATCCTTTAAAAGTACTCTCTTTGGTTATTCTAACTGCAGTTACATGTATGGTAATACACAGATATGTGTAATTACTGTTTAAAGTTTTTTGTGAAGAATTATATGAATGTTTACAAACTATTTAGGGGGAAAAGGCTTCTGTGTGTTTCAAAAATAACAAAGGAAACCTTATGCACCAGTCAATAAAATCTGAGTGACTGGAACAAATATTAAATCTGTGAAATCAAACTGAATTTACTTTCTGGCTGTAAAGATTGAATTTGTAAATTTGACAGGCTGTTTCAAAGGGCATAAGTACACAAAATAAAATTTCTTACCTAAATTCAAGTTGAAAGTTACCTGTCAGATGTGGTTAGAAGTCTGCTGTTTTCTCTCCTGAAGCGTGTCCTTTCAGATGTCAGTTTAAAAAGGTTAATACTGTGCAAAAGAGCAGTGAAAAGAACCTTTCTTGTGTAGTTTTATGTCTTTTTTAAACCAATATATTTTGAAAATATATATTGGAGCTGGATATATTTTCCAAATAAGAGATCATTCTGCACATTCTCAGAATGGATCTTTAACAAGCATTATCCCCTTGTTTGAAATGGGACGGCGAGGGGTTTCTCTTGCAATTGATATCAGCACTGCTCCTTGACTAGTGAGGAGAGGTTCCATTTACCTGGAGGAGCTGGCTTCTTCCTCCAGGAGGCTTACCACTCCTTACTGACCCCGGCCCTGGAGACCCTAGCCCTCTTCTCTAGCTGGCAACATACTACACAGCTGCTCCAGCAGTCCAGGGTTTATGTAAAGAAATGCCTTTGAATTCAGGTTATAGAGCAAAAATTTATTATTTTTTTCATTTACTTTCTCCCTTTCTTTTTTAAAAAACATCTTAGTACTTCAGAAGTGTTCCCTCCTTTGCCCACACCCCAAATATTACATTTACTTTCCATGTATGCTGTGGTGTTTTAGACTTCTTAGTCCCAGAATATTAGAGAGACAAGGTGGGTGAGGTAATATCTGTATTGGACCAACTTCTGTTGGTGAGAGAGACAAGCATTCGAGCTTACGTAGAGCTCTTCTTCAAGTCACTTCTGTCAAAAGCTTGTCTCTCTCACCAACAGAAGTTGGTCCAATAAAAGATATTACCTCACCCTCCTTGTCTCTTTAATATCCTGGGACTGACACAGCTACAACTACACTGCATACATTTTCTTTTCTGCAGTTCTGCCAGGTGTTCAGGGAATTACCTCCCAATATTAAACCGTTGCACATGTCTGTCAGTTATGTATTCCTTGACAGAAACTAGCTGTGTTTGATACAAGTAGGTGTGTTCCGGTAGCCTGGTAAGCTTGGATGGTATGTGATTTTAGCAACTGGAGTACTCTGATGCCTGCTGTAAGGAATGAAATGAGGATGGTGTTGTATAGCATGGCAGGAGTCATAGTGCCTTTCAGTCTTAGACTACTACTTGAAAATGATGGAAATGACCAAATTTAGTGATTATCCATCCTTTCCCAGCAGGCCACTGAGGTCTGGATAAAGATATGATTACTGTATTGTGAGTGATAAGCTATTACTGAGTGAACCACATATTACGTATGAGTAAAATGAGCAGAGTGAAGACCATGAATTATACCTGAAAAACAGAAATATTATTTAGAATTTTAATAGAGAGCAATCAATCAAGTAAGTTTTGGATATTGTAGTGTTTTAGATCATTCATGGTTAAGTAGATACAATTTATATTTGTGGACATAAAACCTCAGAGTGATTACACAAATCCTTTACAATGTTCAACTGAAACAATGTTCAGGATTGTAAACTTTATGTAGAATATATAAAAATTCTTACTGCCTTTTATTAGAACTGTTGATAAACTAATCTGTAATTTCTCAAAGACTGGAAAATAGGTCCTAAACTCAAACTATATTTCTTAGAAATTACAGCATCAACACTTACTGTACAACTGAAATATATAAACACTGATGAGTCTATACAGTAAAACGCATGTCCAAAATTATCTCCACTTTGCACATTCCAAAAATTTGTGATAAAACTTTCAATTATGGATTTTATGATATTTTTGCAAAATGAGAGCTAGAAGCTTAGCATTAAAATATTATTTCAATTATATTTGATGAACGGTGGTTCTTATGCAAATGACACTAATATTAGCTATTACCAGGCACGCGGCTCTGCCTTTAGTCTGAAACAGCACAAGGCTAATCTTAAGCAAAGAATGGTCATTATTCTTAATTGGTTAGTAGTAGTTTGTTGTGAACAAATAGAGTCTGAGATAGGCACCAAACTCACTTTCACTTGTGGTTTAAGCAGGGCTTGGATGAAATTTCCTCTGGAAAGGAAGAGATTTTTTTAACACAGTGTTGTACCTAACAGCCTCCTCCCTCACTCTCTCATACCCAATTGATTAACCAATTTGTTCTGTTTTTCATTTTACTATATAATTTTGCGAAAGGAAATATTTTAAAATAATATTTTGACTTTATTTTTAGGTTGAGTTAAAGAGGAAATACAATGACCAGCACTCAAAGACAAGAGGCCTTTTACCAGGTAGCCAGTGGTATGAAATTCAAGCTTACAGAGCTCTCAACCAGGCACTGGGCAGGTCAGAGAAACTGAATATTATTTAAATATTTTCATTTTTAAACTCCTTTCTTGAACATGATCAGTCCCTCATTCTTAGCACTGGAGGTATTTTTGCACGTCATCTTCATGTTATCCTTGGAATTGTTTAAAATACAGATATTCAGATTTCTACTTTCTTCAGATAGGCATCAGTAAAATCTAACTGTAAGGGGTTGCCATAAACACGTCAAGCAAATACTAATTAGGAAACTGTATTGCCCTTTTAAATTCAGGAACTCTTTCATATTTTATAGAGCAATTAGGGCCATGGAAGAATCAAATGCAAAGATTTCCGACTGACGCTTAAGTCAGTGGGTATCTTTCATTTCAAAGTAAATAACTCTGAACTATAATTCCTGCCTTGTAAATATTTCTGCCCTGAGTACTCTATGGACCAAAAGTCTTGTAACAACTAACATGGTTAAAAGTGGACTGACGTCTTGCAAATCAAGTGGCAAGATATTTGGCAAGCTGATGTTTGTGCTGAACAAAGATTGGGGAGTGAGAATCTAACCAAGCTGTTGTCCTCAGTACTGCTTTAAAGAGATTGCATGGTAACTAGGTTCGTTTTGGCATGACTGCTGTCACTGAGACTTTCTGAAAGAGTAGTGTTTATTGCAACTAATTGTGGTCAAATCTGAGGTGAGGTCTACACTTGCAGTGGCATATAGAGTAGAGACACTAAACCCACAGCGAGAATGGGTATAAATAGCCGTGTAGCCAGTGAGGCACTGCTTCAGCGAGTGGAGACCTACTAGAAACCTAGAGTATATATTGGCTTTCTACATGCCCAAGCACCACCTCCCACAACCACCCACACCTTTCCCCCCTGGGGGGAGTCTTTCCTGCAGAGGGGAATGGCTCCAGCAGCAGGACACTATACTGCCAAAATTAGCAGTGTAGATGGGGAGGCACAGTTTGGGTGAATAGAGCCTATATAGTATTGTACTCACATACATACGTCCACCCTTCAGACGTGTCTTTACTCTTCTTGCCTAAGCTATGCCTCACTCTCTATGCTGCTGTTTATTCTCATGCTGTGGGGCTCTGCAGGTATGTACTCTACATACACAGCACCGAGAGAAGTGTGCAGTGCAGAAGTACCCTAAATTTGACTTAATACAGCATGCGAGGGATATATATGACGGGTGGGGAAGGGATTGGGGGAATATGGTGGAGAATAGTAAAAGATCATGATACATACTCATTGTTAGATATCACTCTTGTTAATTTCCTTTTGGGGAGTGAGAGTAATTTAAAAATAAAAAATGTTAGTTCCAGGAGGGTGCAAGAGTGGTGATCAGTGATGGAAGACTTACTGAAGGAAGTGAGTTTGAGGAAGAGAGTTTGGTTGTGTAGTATACAGGATATTTTGTCTGTCTAAAAATATAGACATTTTCCACTTAAAATCTTTTGCTAATGAAAGGTCTTCATTGTATGACTAACCATTTAAATCAGAGGTTCCCAAAGTGGGCGATACCGCCCCCTGGGGGGCGCTGGAACGATCCAGGGGGGCAGTAGTAGCCTCGCGAGCCATTGGGGCGCGGTGCAACATAATAAGGGGGCGGTGGAAG